CTCCTACGGAGGGACGAGGGTGCGGGCCTTCCCTTGGGACAATGGGAGGCTGGCTGTCCTGCCCCCGCCCTCCGGACCGCGCCGGCTCCTGCTAGCTGAGCACAAAGCCGGGAGCCAGGATAAGGTGGAGTGGAGCTAGGCGAGTCTGCGGACGTGGCAGCCGCTGTGCAGAGTCAGCCGGCGTCTCATTTGTCCTTTTAAAGAGAGGAAGGACCGAGCTGGTGCAGCGTGGCGTTCCCACCTTCCCTTCCACTGCAGAAGTCCGGGCTTTCTCTGAAGGCTACACGCCGCAGAGGACACCCCAGGGTCCACGGCCCGCAGAGGAGCAGTGGGAGGTGGGGCGGGGGGAGTGGGGGGTGCAGAGGGGGAGGAACAGTCAGCTGGCTCTCCAGGACGGGGAGACTTCGGGGGCGGAGGGGGCCTGGAAACAGGATCCTCTGGCCCGCTCCGAATCCTGAACGCGCGGCAACAGTGACAATAGGGCGTCAGGGGGGTGACAGCAGTCATCTCAAATGGCCCGTTAAATCGTCAGAAGCAGAGAGTGGCCGAGGGATCCGGATCTCATCTCCCTCCCGCCCCCACTCCCATTAGCTGGCTGCGGAACCACCATCACAGGTACACGCACACGGGTGCTCTGCACACATATGCACGCACAGACGTTCATCAAGGTTCTCACAGGATACAAGTGCAGCCTTCCCCTCACCCCTCTCGCATCTCTATATTGGCGCGCGCTCTCATTCACCTGCACACATCCAACCCGTCGCAGCCCGCAGGGAGAAATGGACGCGGTGCCTGGGCATTCTCCCGCGCTTCCCCATCTGACTGCACCTGCAGAAATCCGTCCAAACAGGCCCCGCCTTGGTGCTGGAGACCAAGACTCTCCCGCTAGGCTTCTGGTCGCCAAAGAGGACCCCGGGAACTGCCCAGCCTGCCCGCGCTCCCAGATCCCATCCGGAAAGTCTAACCATGACCCTTCCCAACCATCCCGGAACTGGCTCTCCTGGAGGCAGTGCCAGCGCTGCCCCTGGGATAGGATCTGCACACAGAAAGGGGGCCGGGTAGTTCGAGCAAACGCATGCTCAGCGGGCTGTGCAAGAAAAGGGGAGACTGGGGCCCAAATGGCTCAGGGCTGCTGATTCTAAAAAGCCAGGCTTCTTCACTGTGGCTGTGCAAACCTAAGCTTGGACTTGGGGGTGGCAGGGAGAAATGGAAGCGGTGCTTGGGCATTCTCCCGCGCTTCCCCATCTGACTGCACCTGCAGAAATCCGTCCAAACAGGCCCCGCCTTGGTGCTGGAGACCAAGACTCTCCCGCTAGGCTTCTGGTCGCCAAAGAGGACCCCGGGAACTGCCCAGCCTGCCCGCGCTCCCAGATCCCATCCGGAAAGTCTAACCATGACCCTTCCCAACCATCCCGGAACTGGCTCTCCTGGAGGCAGTGCCAGCGCTGCCCCTGGGATAGGATCTGCACACAGAAAGGGGGCCGGGTAGTTCGAGCAAACGCATGCTCAGCGGGCTGTGCAAGAAAAGGGGAGACTGGGGCCCAAATGGCTCAGGGCTGCTGATTCTAAAAAGCCAGGCTTCTTCACTGTGGCTGTGCAAACCTAAGCTTGGACTTGGGGGTGGGGGTGGGGGGTTGTTCTCTAGGGTGAGATGCCTTCCAGCCCGGGCAGTCATGTCCTTGTTCATCGCCCGCTAAGCTGTAAACTCCAAGAGGTCAGGGCTGAGTTTGCTCCTCCTGGAACCTGGCACAGTCCCAGTTAAGATGAGCTGTCTTCAACATTCATTGAACAAACGTGGAGGGCTTTGGACATAAATATGTAGACCTTTGTTTTTGATTAGAGGTGGAGAGCATCCACCAAATTCTCAGATGGATCCCTCCCTGGGGAGAGACGGAAACAAACCTGTCCGGGCGGTTGAGGGGCGGAGACTGGGGACGGCAGGGAAACGCGCTCCTTCCCACTGCACCCCCCCTCCCCCCGCACCTGCAGAGCCTCGCAGGGCTTTGACCAACCATCTTCCCCTCTCCCTGGAGCTCTCCCGCGACCCTTTCACTGTGGCTGCTTCGTCACTCCCAGCTGCTTCACCAGGCCGGCCGGAGCCGGCTCCCCGCCGCCCACCTAGCGCTGGGATCCCCGCGGGTGTAAAACGCAGAACCGACCCGAGACCGCGGGCACCATTGTTTCTTCTTTATTTGCGGATATAATTATGCGCCGCACTCTAAAGTAGAGATAGATTTTTTTTTCTGATATACATTTCATCTTATTCACCACGAGCACACCACACGCACGTAGAACAGTTCCACAAGATGAATTTGGGTTCCTGGAAACCCGCAGGCAAGCCAACCCCGCCCCGCTCCTCGCCTCCCGCTCCTCCGATGGAAACCGCCCACCCGGAGCGGGTTCCCGGCCAGCCTTTCCCGCCGCAGGGTTGAAATGTCTCCGGAATGGGAAGCGCTCTTGCTGGAAATGGCTGCACGCTGCAGGTTCCGAGCACTGGATGGATGTGAAATGTCCCGCTAAGGTCAAGTTTCCGCGCCTGCGAGCTGCTGCCCCTCTCCCTCCCTGCCCACCCCCTGGGTGCCAGGGGCCTACGTGTGGGACCCCACCTGGAAGGACAGATAACCCTGCTCACAAAGGAGCCCCCGCCTCCCCCCACATCAGGGTGTTGTGGCAAGGACAGGACAACAGAAACGCAGACGCGACGGATTGTGGAGCCCTATCCCCTCCCACCACCCCATCCCCAATGATCAGAGACTAGGAACTGGAGATGTTTAAAGCTTGGCTTCCCAAGCGCGGCGG